AAACTGTAAAAATTCTGCAGTTTTTTAAATCTTTCAACGCCTGTAACTCGACTCTCGGTTAACCGATTTCGATCAAATTTTCAGCGCGCGTATCAGTTACCGAGATCTACGAGAGGAATTTTTTAAATTATCGTTACAAGATCAAATAAAAAAGTTAAAAAACGAGAGTCTTTTACTTTTTATCTGTCATTCCAAATAAGAGCAAAATTTAAAAAAGACATTTTGGTCATTGTCTAGTATACTAGTCCCTCTATCATCCAAAGAAAAAATATTCAACTCATTTAGTCCAGTTTCAAAAAATTGATTGCGTTTTAAAAGGTGTGCGAACACTTTCGTGGGCAACTGTACATGTCCCAAAAACGTTCAGACATTTCAGTGCTCAGATTAGTGCGAGACAACACTCCCACGAGGCACGCATTGTCCTTTTGGCAATCAGAAAAGATCACTGAAACACACGTGTCCCGCCAGGGTCGGAAGGGTTAAATATCTCGGAACATGGTTTCAGCACGTAGGCCTGTCTTCCGAATAGCTGCTCGATTTCAAAAATCTCTCCACGTGTACCAGGACAAGATCCTACGCCCCCGGAACAGAAAAAGATCCTAAACGCACCGTAAAAGCAGTCGAAAACTCGTAAAACATCGAAACACGTCGGCCAATATCGAGCTAGAATTTAAGAGGTTCGGCGCAAGAAGGCAACGATGACGCGTCGCTGTAACGAATGAAATCCAAAAGGTTGATTGGGGGTGGGTTTGCGAGAGTGGCCATGCGGCTGGCAGGGTAACGGAAGAGGGTGGCCGGTGGGCGCAGGGGAGAGGGTGTATCGGAAGAGAGGGACACTCGGGTTTCTTAGAATCCTCGTTATTCCAGATGAGCAGAGGTGGCCGTAGCCGGGGAAAGCCACGAAATATCCGAAGAAAAACACGTTTCCAGGGGCGAATCGATAGCAACAATGCCATGGCAAAAGCTCGAGGTCTCGGCTCGCGTTGCGACGAGCGGTGGGCACCGAGACGAAGGGTGAGAGGGGTGGGTGGCATCTCGGGCGTGTTAGAGGGTAGACATAGTCGTGGTACGAGGTCTGTAGAAGGGCTGGGGAGTTAGAGAGAGAGAGAGAGAGAGAGAGAGAGAGAGAGGGAGAGAGAGAGTGAGAGCCGAGAGAGCGGTAACAGGCGGAAAGAGAGGGTGGAAAGCGTGGTACGAGGCAGCCTTATTGGAACCGTGGTGTAGAGGGAGGCGAGTTTTCCTAAGGGTAGACGGAGAGGCAGGGAGAAACAGGGAGAGACCGGGAGCGGAGAAGACAGGTGGCGAGGAGAGAAGAATAAAGATAGGACAGGCGAACGGGGTGACAGCGCGGGGAAGGGAGCGAGGGGAGAGAGACTTAGAGAGAGAGAAAGAGAGAGAAAGAGACGACGCGACGGCACCGGTTGATGGAACGAGGCCGCTACAACGTTGGCAACAGCCAGATGGGTAAAGGCTGCATTACCTATGGTGCCTCGAAGAAACGATCCTTATTGAGAGAACAGGTAACTTGCCTTTGCCATCTCCTCTCCTTCGTTAAAGGGGACTCGATGATTCCGTCCTCTTTGTTCGCGATATTAAAGTACATCGAGGCGCCGTGGCTACCAACCCACGTCTACCTTCCCCTCCGCCTCTCTTCACGGGCCGCTCTCTCTGCCGCTCAGAAGTGTCAATTGCGTTCATTGTTCGTTCATAGGGCAGAAGATCGACCGATCTCTCGCCAGTCTTTCTCGTTTTACTTCCTCTCGGATGGCTAGAGGACAGGGGGGGAGTGTGGGGGGACGATGGATATCGCGTGTTCCGATGCGAGCACCGATTTGCATATTCAGCTCCTATTTTATCCGGCGCGCCCTTCGTCGCTCTCGAGCGTCGCCATCGGGCAATGGGGTCTCTAGTTTAGAGAGAGAGAGGGGGAGGGTTGCGCTCCCGAGAGTGTGACTGTTTAAGAAGGAATGTAAGTGGCGATGACGATAAGATTTTATACGGGAGTAATTGGGGGATTTGTGCGCCACGGTTTCTCCACGGTGTTCCATCGCGCCGGCTTGATTGAAGACCATTGCTCCCGGCTGCTTCCTACGTGGACGGTATGACAAGCGTTTCCAACCGTTTAATTAGAGAGCCCCGCTAAGCAGAGAACACAAACGACTCTGTTCTTCTTTTTCGGGGGTTTTCTATGAACTGCAGTCCCATCGATCGCACGGCGAAACCGACGATGGTCGCTGTGGATGGAGAAACGATCGTACGTCGATTTATCCTGTTCGTAATTGAATTATTATTTCAGACTTTGAACCGCGGCTTTTACGAACACGGAACTGTTTAACCCTTAAATGCATATCGTTGCCAATTGTCTACGTTCCAGTTCCACTTAATTTTATTCAGAAACCTGAGCATGTGCGTCTCCGAACACACGTTGATAACAATAGACAATAGACCATGTGTGAAAGAAGAGACTTGACATTACTTTTGGCGAGTGAGTTATATGTTTTTTGATATTTGAATGTGCTGGGTGATAACCTTCAATGTGTTACTTGGAGAGATATTTTCTTTTTTCGAGTTTCTTATAAAGAAGTGATTTATCTAATTGAAAAAAAGATTACTTCTCATCTGTTGTCAGGTAAACCGTGAATGTTTGATATTGCATTTGAAAATTTTATTTGATATATGTCAGATTTTTGGCCATTTGTTTACGTCTACAATAATTTTAGTAATAAACGCATATTGTTGCCAAAAGTCTACGTACAACGTTTTTTCAAAATAAATACTCAATATTATTACCTAGATTTTTTTATTTATTTTTTACGTAACCTATATATGACTACATTCCCATAAAAAACGATTTTTTTAAATTCAAAACAAAAAATCATGCATTTAAGGGTTAATAGAATTTTGTAAATAGAACCATGCGTACGTAAACTATTGCATATACCGTGTGTACAGTTGGAAATTGTGAGTTTAAATGTCTCGAAAACGACACATTTGGGAAGAAATATTAAATAGCAAGGTTACTCGATTTCAATGGGGAAACACGACTTTTTTATTTACTTTTTGTTGTTAATGGCTTCGAAGGTTATTTGGAGGATAACGTTGTTTCTTTAAATGGGATAAACTTTTGTACGAAAATTTTTTAATCAGAGTTCGTCATACGAGGATATTTAATAAAATGAAACATTTGTTCACTTATGGAACTTCTTTATTCTTTTTTATCATTTTGCCTCAAGAACGATTTATTTTTTTATGAAAATAATTACTCCATTTAAATAATATTTTATATAAGATTGGATCGATACAGGTCGTACAAAACATACAATTTTTGATTTTGAAAGTACCTCAATTATCAACAGCCTTGTTTATTTCCCCTGAGAGAGTACGAAGGGTTAAAACAGTGAAATAAGTGAAATGATTAAAAACGAAAGAAGAAGTTCATACATACTTGGATTCTGGATCTGGCGACCGGCAGAGGTAATTGTTATTTTGCAGAATGGTATTCGATTGAAATACATCGATGAAAATACAGATCGTATGTTTTCACCAAACGTGACAAAAAATGTTTATGAATGGACGATGCTGGCGAAAGTTAAACAAAAACACCGTACGATATAAACCGTAAAATCTCTCATTGCAAAGTATTTAATATCTCTACTTGTAAATCGCGGATCTTTTTGTGAAATCAAAATTTTCTTGGTCAATCGACAAGAAAATAAAAGTTAAATGAAGTTGTATTTTCCCGTTCGTTAAATTTGAGGCCTGGAAAATAATCTAGCAACATTCTTAATATCTTCGAATGTATTTACATTTTCGTTCTTACATAGTTATCTGTGATTGAAGTTGAACAAAAGTCTGATCAACATGCCATTATAATTAAAAAACGTCAGGTTAAAAAACATCGTTCGGCATAATAATAACTATATTGTGGATTTTTATAGAAATCTTATTTTATAGAAATTTTTTATAAAAATCTTATATATATTTAAATTTTTATAGAAATTTTATATTAAGGAAAAGATTTCTTTCACTGACAAGATTGTTAAATATTCTACGTCTCTTGCACATTTCTTGCGCATACTATAAATGCAAAAAAATCCACAGTCTAGTAATAATTCAGTTATTATGATTGATCGTATATCATGTTCAGTAATAGTCGGAACAATTGAAAACAGTTTAACACTATTATTTTTCATTCAACTTGAATGCAGATTTCCAATAATAAAACGAGTTATACTCCATCTACGCAAATTAATCCAATTAACTGATTTTCACATGCTTTTATAATGTGCATTTATTAACTTTATTTAAATCTATCATTTTATATATATATATATATATATCACAACAAGAATGCCAATTGCAATGATTAAGCGTTACAAAACATAATGATTAAACCATCTTTCGTCTCAAAATAAAACGCTTTCGTTCAAGAATATCAAAAACTTGAAATATATATCATAACAAGAATTCCAATTGCAACGATTAAGCGTTACAAAACATAATGATTAAACCATCTTTCGTCTCAAAATAAAACGCTTTCGTTCAAGAATATCAAAAACTTGAAATATATATCATAACAAGAATTCCAATTGCAACGATTAAGCGTTACAAAACATAATGATTAAACCATCTTTCGTCTCAAAATAAAACGCTTTCGTTCAAGAATATCAAAAACTTGAAATATATATCATAACAAGAATTCCAATTGCAACGATTAAGCGTTACAAAACATAATGATTAAACCATCTTTCGTCTCAAAATAAAACCCTTTCGTTCAAGAATATCAAAAACTTAAAATATCATTGAAACCGTGCAGTTTTTACTTATACATATATGTTTGTTTCAAAACTTAAAAATTTCTTTTACTTCAATCTAGAATTCTTACTTCAACTCACCGTATGAATATTTGCGATCCATCCAGAAATCGTTCGAAGCGAATTCATTCGAGGAAGACGTGCCTTTTAGCAAGTAGGGGTGGTGGTAAAGTAAAACGCCAACAGTTTCGGATTTTAGTGATCTCATATATTTTCCCATCTGGTTCATGTGCAATTTAAATATAATAAAATAATAATTAATAATAATAATAATAGTTATAAGGATGACAACTGTCACGGTAATAATAATAATAATTAGCAATAATTACTCATAATAATACAGTCGCGCGTTCTCACCCTTAACAACTAACTGCGCTATGATACAACGATTATATACAAAATAATATTAGATTCCGGTGCTATCCAACACTTTCCGAGTATCTCTCTCTCTCTCTCTCTCTCTCTCTCTCTCTCTCTCTCTCATACACGTGCCCTCTTCGCGGCTACTTTAACGACGATTATCGAACGCCTAGCAGAAAACGAGTCCGTGTTTTGATCGCGTCTTAACGTCCTAATGTACCTTCATGTTGTACTCGAGGTTCACCGGTTAACGACAAGCTATATGATACACGGAAAATCACTACCTTCTAGGCATTTAATATCATACACAAGGCTAGGCTACACGGTCAAATACGAAAAAGTTTAGCGTCGCTGAGACGACGGCGACGGTGACGGTGGGTCACACCCCCCGCGATCCACTCCCGGTCCACGATGATAGTTCCAACAACGACAAAACAATTCGGTCAAGTTCCAAGAAAATAGCAGTCGCGACTGTTCCGCCTTTGGTATACGTGACAACATTCGTGGTAAGTCGACTCCCAGTTCCTTGGAAACGATTATTCATACGTGGTCGAACGGCAACGCGCGTTCCTCGCCGTGATCTAGATTTGTAAATGGTACGAGAGATCGTGCCCAATTTTCCACCGATTTTTGTGATTTCAAGATCAGAAGAATAAATAATTCACAGACTTTTAGACTTTCGCGCGTGAAGTTCGCGATAGACCGGCTGAACAAAAGCTGGACAAATCAACGCTTCGACCACGGCATCGCTCATGCATACATGCATACATGTGCCACGGAATTGTTTGTTTAAATTCGGAAATTAATTTTTCACGCTAAGCTGTTATACCTTCCTGATTTGATTAGGCTCGGCAACGTGTACAAATTTCGAGAAAGTAATTCATGTCACACAACTTAGTTTTCCAATTTTAATGAAATGTTCTCTTAATTCCATAAAATGTTCAAGGTTGTTCGTATGACAGCCAAAGCGTCGAACAACTTCATTCAACGGTGTAAGTTGGAATGATTAAATAGGGATTTAAATGCAGCTCGATTGTAATTCCAATGTTAAATCAGCAACATTTCTTTGAGATTGTTCTCTTCAATCGCGGAACAACGTCTTCAACGTGCGCGTGCATTATGTTAATTAGCGGATACCGGATTCCATCGACTGCAAGAATTTGTCAAAAATAATTTTGAAAATATTTCTGAAGCGCGAAACATAGAAAATAATTTCTCATTTCAACTTACGTTTCAGTGCACGTTTAATCTTTCCAACTGCAAAAGGTATAAATGTATTTTTTGGTAGCGAACGTGTTGAGACAGCGTTCTCATCCCTTATGTCACTAACTGTAATCATAAGCGCAATCCACCATTAGTGCCGCTGTCGAATTGGAACCAAATCAGGAACATTGAAACCCAAACAAAAGGAGAGCCGTCGTAGAACGTTCATTTTTCAACGAATTTTTATTGAATAATCTCCACCAAAATATTTCAGAAACGTTAAAATACAAATTTAATTCCTTTAATCGGAACAACATTGTTCACTCAAAAGATCAAGGTGATGTCAAGGGATACAGTTTCGATATCGATGGAACAATTCCGATGACAAAAACGAGGTTTCCGTATGTCAAAATAGTGATTCCGTTTCGAAGATCAGTGCATCGACGTTATTCAATTTTTCAACATGAAATCGTATCTTGAAATTTCGTTCTCGTTTAACTGAAATCATTCGAGCCTCGCGAAATATTCAAAAACAATTGCAATCGCATCGGTGGCTTAAAAGTAATCAAAACCTCGATCTCGGACAAGAATAAAAAGCTCTTCCGAAACAGGTCGATCGGTATCGAAAATTCGACTAATAATCGAAACGTTCCTTAAAATAGCTCAGTTCGGAGCCGACGATCATCGCGACCATCCGGCGAACACAAAAACGTTTCACTGTCGGTCGGAAATGAAGAGGAATGAGGGAGGGGAGGGGAGGGAGGTTCGCCGAGAAAATTTCAATCGGCGTACATCCGAAATCGGTAGAGAACGGACCGGTGACTTCCATCAATCGACAGGCAGTCGACCGAAATGGCCGCGGCGGGTCATCAGCAGCAACGGCAATCTTCGCCGATCATTAAATATTCAGAAGCTGTCCTCGCCGAACAATCATCCCTGTCGAATTCGCCGTCCGTTTCGGGTCCACGGGAGCCGGATCTTTAAATACCGCGCGTCCGCTTCCGATCCGCGGCCGGATTCGACTTGCGGCGGCGCCCCCTTGAAATCGGTGACACGCGACGCGTTCGACCCACATTTTGACAGGACTCGCGAATAATTCGTCGCCCGTTTCACCGTCTACTATATCGGGAACACGGAACGGAACGGAGCGGGACGCGGACCGATCCGATCCGACCCGACCCGACCCGCGCGCCGGTCCGGTTAACTGACGTTGTCGCCGGAACGCCGGCAAAGTAATTGATCTTATCCGGTTTAATAGATGATCGGGTAATCCGATAGTTCGAATGGCAGGTCGGACCGGATATTAGCCGCGTTAGCGTTGCCCTCGGAGACTGCGGACAAGGTTTTTTTTTTCTTTCCTAGCCGAGACTACTAACGTCGTATCGTTTCCCGATGAAACCTTAAGAATTCTATTATCTCGAAGTCCCGAACCGGAATCAGCCCAGACGGTTTGGGCCGCGATCGATTAAATATCTACATTTACACGGGGGTTAAATACATGCGTTTTTTTTTTCTTTATATCTGTTCGTCGTCCGCAGTCACCACCAGGCGATAAATAAACCTTAAATCGAATCATCGGTGCTTGGCAAATATAACGACTCATCGACCAGCGAAATGAAAAGTGTCGCTAAGGGAGACCCGAGAACGGTCTCCGCGGGCGCGCGCGCGTTTTCGAGAAACTTCTCCCGAAAAAGTCCTGTAACTCCGTCCCCTGAATCGCGATAGAATGCCGCGGCTAGTGCCGTTTCTGCGAGTCCTCTGTAACAACAACAACCGACCGACCAACCAACAACTACGTCGGCATTTCCAGCACCGTGTCTGCCCGGCGCGATTGCGAGGTGCTCGAATCGCAGAGCAGAGGCGAGTGCGGCGTTCAAAGGAGGAGTTAATTAGACAACGGTAGCAGAGTTAGTCTTGATCCTTTGGTCCTTCTCGCAGTACCTATATATTCTTATTACGCGCGTCCGCGATGTCCTCACGTGTGATGCTCGCCGGTTTGAACGGACACCTCCGAGCCGATGATCATGCCGCTGGTAAGTATGTTGGCCGCCGTCGGCAGGACCAACGGGCTCGGCATCGTGATGGACGGCCGGAGCCTCTCGGTTAGGGCCAGCATCACTTGGCAGTGCAGGTGCTGAATGGTGGCCAATAGGTTCAGATTGGTATCGATCAGTCCGGTCGCCGGCGAGTATCTCTCCCTCTCCACGCTGTCGATCTCCTCGGCGGGCAGAACGGTCACCTTCTGCTCGATCTCGGACTCCTTGATCGCGGCGGCCTTGTTCTTCTCCGCCTGCAGTAGCCTCTGCTGATGCTTCAGGTATGAGGTAGTGATGGGAAGACTGTAGTCGATGGGCGTGTTCTTCGGGTCGAGGCCTGGGCTCCACGGCCTTGGCAACGGCTGGCTGGGCTGGGGTGACGGTGTCCGGCCCTCTGGCAACATCCTTTTCCTCTTTGACGAGGCAGAGCTTCTCGAGCTGGCCCGGTCCGACTCGGGGGTTCGCCTGGACTCGGGCAGAGCCTCCGCTCGGTCCGCGCTCGGCAGAAAGCCGCCGGTCACCGGCTCTTTCTTTAGCAGATTTGTGATGCTCAGGGGATTGTACTTCTCCTCCTTCTCCTTCTCAGGCTTCTCCGTCGTCGACGTCGTCGTCGTCGTCGTCATCGTCGTCGACATCGTCGTCGTCGTCGTCGCCGCCGTCGTCGTCGACACCGAAGCGTTGCTCTTGTGATGCTTTTGATGCCTGTAGCTGTACAGGGCCTTGGTCTCGCCGGGCTGATGGCCTCCGTCCCGCGACTTCGAACCGCCCTGCGACGAGGACGACGTCGTCGACGCCGTCGTCAGACCTCCGGCGGTGCTCGGGCTCAACGGTGTCTGCGTCGTCGTTAGAGCCGTCGCGGCGTTGCTCTGCTGCGTCTGGTTGGATATATTCGTCGGGCTCGGGGTCCGCGGGCGTCGTTGGCATTCCGTGCAGCCCAACAGAAATCGCGTTACCGCCTCCCGCGGTAGGAACGCGTACGTTTCCGTGATCTGCAACGAAACCGGACAATCGTGTGAGAAATGACAATCGATGAGTCTCGAGCGGCTTTTCTTGCGATTTTCATCGCATCGCCCGCGCGACACGTGGCATGCATTTTCGTAGAAAATACAGGCTTGCCGGAGACACCTTACGGTCTAGATTAGATCGGATAACGTCTTCGTTTTTATCGCAGGATTTTTGAGCGTATAGAATACTACGTTGCACCCTTTCGCTGGTTTTTTCCACAAAATGTTCGTAGCTTTCATAGCTTTATTTCCAGATTTTACTGACAATTGATACTCTAACTGTTGGCTCGAAGTAACTTTTAGAGTTTAGCGATATTTAAACGAAAAATAAACAGAAATATTTTAAATACAAATTAATTATATAATTAAATAAAAATTAATAGAACATCGTATTTCTATGTTTTTATATTTGAAATGATAGACGATAGAAATACACAAATACGTTATTTTGGCAAGTTTTCTTTCGTTTAAATATCAATAACAATGCGAAAGTTGCATCGAGTCTATAATTATGCTAATTATTATATGTTTCTGTGGGGGCCGAATCGAGATACATTGTCAAAAATGCAAAATTCGCCTAAGCATTGCGTTCGACTTACTTTTTTTGAATATCAACAATTATACAGTTGAAACGTAAAATTTAGTAGAATGATCTAAATTTCAACATCTTTAACACGTTGAATGCAACTGACACTAATTTTAATACTAATTGTATTGAGCAAACTATACGTTAGTTTCAAAATTTCAAGTTTTAACGTTGCAGTTTCTCCTTAATTAACTCCTTAAGTGATCTGCAAAGTTCAACAATCTGGTCTAAAGATTATCTACTATATTTCTGTTATTAAAAATAGTTTACCAAGTTGTTCCACGGTCAGAAAAGTATAAATAACATAGTTTTTAATACAATGAAAAGCGAAGAAACATGTAATCGATTCGAATGCTATTAAATTTTAAATAAATGTTATTGAACAGTAAACCTTGTGATTGACTGAACCTTCTAAATTAATTATTTACAAGATTACCAATAAGTTGAAGATCTTCATTAACTATTTTGTATAGTACGGTGAATTTCAACACGATGTACAGCGTACAATGCATAGAGTTATTTTGAATTTAACCTAATTTCTTTCTTTATTTATTTACTTATTTGTTCTCGGCCGTGATGTTCATTACCGATGTTCATAACGAATAGCATGCATCATCTCAGATGTCAGAAGTTCGGATAATCGAGGTCCTACAGTACCCGATAATCCGTCTTATCTGTGTACTAAATTTTTAAGTATTCGTCTGATCGAGTACGTCGACTCTTAAAGGTAAATAGGTTACGAGTTCGCGAATAAAAATTTGGATGCCAGCCGTGTTGTTCTTTTGGAAGAAGAGCACGGCCTACCGGAAGTCTGAACACGATAATATTGGGTTGGCAACTAAGTAATTGTCGATTTCAGTTATAGATGTCTCTCACTCCCATTTTTATGATATCCGTAAATGTTATATTATAAAATTATTATTATTATTATTATTATGTTACTTTTTATTATCCGTGAATGTTAGCAACTGGACAAATTGAATGCAGCGGTCAAGGAAAAGCGACCAGAATTGGTCGATCGTAAAGGTGTCATTTTCCAGCAGCACAATGCTAGACCGCACACGTCTTTGTCCACTCGGCAAAAATTGATGGATATTGCTTGGGAATTGATGTTACACCCACCATATAGGCCTGATCTCGCACCATCGGATTACCACTTATTTCGATCCCTGGACAACTCCCTTCGTGGTAAAACTTTTAATAATGACGACGCTGTAAAATCTCACTTAACTCAGTTTTCGGCCGAAAAGGATCAGACTGTCTACGAGCGTGGAATTTTCAAGTCGTCAGAGAGATGGCAAAAGGTCATCGAACAAAATGGAAAATACATTACAGATTAAACTTCGTTCCAAGTAAAAAGAAATTTTT